CCCCACCCGGTGCCAGGAGCCTGCCCTGCCCACGATGAACAGATCCTTGGGCTTGCTGCCGCCCTTGTTTTCTGAACGGTTCAGGGTTTAGGGTTGAAACTAACGCGCGCCCCTCTCCCAGCCCGCTTCACCCACCGTGAAGAGCTCCTTGGGTTTGCTGCCGCCCTTGTTCTTCAGCAGCTCTGCGTACGCCTCCTCTCCCTCCACGCTCGGCCCGTAGTCGCGCCACCGAGTAAGGGGGCCGATGCGGCCAGCAGCCCTGCGCGTTTGCAAACAGAGCGGGGGGTCCGGGTGGGCGGCATGACGGGTGGGTTGGGGTGGGGTGAGGGAGGCCGTCTGCGAGGCTGTGCTTTGTCAAAGAGACTAGCTGCCAATCCACCCCCTCCGAGAATAAAACCCACGCTGCTCCCCACCTCCCACTTGCATCCCGCCTCAGGTCCAGCCCCGCACGCACCCCTGATACACACACACACACACACACGCGCACGCGCGCGCGCTCCCCTCAACCCTTATCAGCCAACCCCCCGAGGAAAGGTGAGCCCGCTCACGCGTGCTCCCGCAGCAGCGCCCTGAACGCGTCCCGCCGCCGCCGCTCCGCGCGCCGCTCCTCCTCCTTGGCCCTCTCCTGCTCCTGCCGCTCCCGCTCCTCCAGCTCACGCACAAACAGCTGCGGGGCGGTTTTGGATAGCACATTCTTGTTATGTGGTCGTTGACACGAAATCGGAGTCATGATCAGGGTGTCTGGATCATTTTGATGCCTTGGTACGTCTGTCGGAGCAGACACGGCCCTGCCCCTGCTGATGTGCCTCTCATCCAAGTTTGTTGTTCAGTGGCCTGGAAGGCTTGCGAGCGCAGGACATGCGTAAATGTCGACTGAGTTATGGGCATTGGGAGGGAGCACACTGCGCAATCGCAGGTGACTGCGGTTCGGGGCTGTCTAGCTTTGGGGTTTAGGGTTTAGGGTTCAGGGTTTAGGGCCTGGCAGACCTCGAAGATGCGCAGCCGCTCCTCCCTGTCCAGGGCATCAAAGGCCGCCTGCCCCTCCAGCTTCGCCGCCACCTGCCAGTAAGATGGTGGGGGCGATGGCAACAATTCGCTACTATCCGATCCCATGTGAGTTTATACATAATTGATCTCATGGATATTCCAAACATCTTCGGCAGCACTGAACTTGTGTGTGTGTGCGTGTGTGCGCGTGCGTGTGTGTGTGTGTGTGCGTGCGTGTGTGCGTGCGTGTGTGTGTGTGTGTGCACGTGCACGTGTGTGTGCGTGCATGCGTGTGCGCTTGTGTGTGCGCGCATGCCTGCGCGCGCCGCTAGATTATGCTGGGCTTGCCCCCACCTTGCGGAATTGGCTGGCCAGCGTGAGCCCCGCTCCGCGCAGGAGCTCCCTGGAAGGGTTCGCGGTTGATTTGGCGGTGAGGGTGGGGGGTGACGCACGGCGCAGGGCGCAGCAGGGGCGCACGCGTGCGTCAGGCGCCCAGGGCGGGTGGAGGGCGTGGAGGGCCCGCGCCCCCTCTCGGTCGGCGGCCTGCATCCCTTCCGAGTGATCCAGGTCAGCACCGCCGCGACTTCCTAGATTCGCCAAACCGCATGCATTCGGGCGGTTCGGGCATGCCCTCTCGGGCCCGCTGCCGACAAGCTGGTCCCAACAGCCGGGCTCGCTTTGACGCCCGCCCCTCACTCTGTTGACCCCCTCCCTCTCACGCCCGCGCCACAACCACACACTCCATTTTGAGGTCAGCCGGTCTGCTTCCATCCCCTAGCTGCTTGCTACCCCCCACCCCATGCACACGCGCCGCACCCAGGCTGCGCGAACCTGTAAGCCGCCTCCCGTTCCCGCTTTCGCGCGCGGTCCTTCTCCTCCGTGCGCCGCCTAAAGCCGCGCATGAAGACATCAAATAGCTCCTCCCGCGCACCCTCGTCGGGGACGGCCTGAGTTAGTTGGGGGCGGCGGACGTCGAACGGAAGGAGTTCAGAGGCAGGCAGGGGGTGTGCAAGGCTCCCGGTCAACTTTTTATTGACCGCTCACTGCTAGATGCGCCGGGCCACACACGTGCACGCGCAGGCACAGACACACGCGTGCATACACATGCACAGGAGGAAACACGTCCGCACACGTCCCAGCCGGCGGCAGCTGCGCAGTGGGCGGACCCCCCTCCCCTATCCCCCCCCCCAAGTGGAATTGCTTGCATGCCGCGTCGCTCCACCCCGGCATGCAGGGGGCCTAAGGCGTCTGTGCATGCAGCCAGCACGGCAAAACCCCAGAAGGCACGCGCGCGCGCACCGCCCAGCGGGGGTCGTCCCTCAGAAGCTGCCTGGCGTCCCGGAAGCTGCACGGGCGGCGGGCGGCGGCACAGGGGGGCGGGGCGGCGGCAAAGGGGTGACTTGCGGGCGTAGGAGGTACAAAAAAGGGCCAGCAGGTGGGCGGCGCGTTGGCTCTCTTGGATGAACCCGCTGGTTCGCCACCCAAGATCTCCATCACCATTCCATCATGATTGCATGCAGTAACGCTGGACCGTCACCCCGATCCGACACCCCCCCCCCCAGGTATGCACAAAAGCACGCACGCACGCACGCACGCACGCACGCAAGCGGACATGCACACAGTTACACGCACATACACATGCACATGCACGCGCACACTTGTACACACTTGCACATGCGCATGGGCGCAGCCACACATACACGCATGCATCACCACACGCGCAGCCCCGCCGCTGCCCACCTGTCTCCCAGCCGGATGGCGCCGCAGCCCTCCAGCATTGCGCTAAACGCGTCCTTCGCCTCCGCCGCCCTCCGCCGCACCAAATCCTTCTCCTCTGTCCGCCGCGCCTGGGCGTTTTGGATGAAGAAAGAAGAAACGCACAGGAGGTTGGGTGTGGCTGCTCGTATGGGTGCCCGTGTGCATGCATGCGGGGCAGCGCGCATGCACATGCAGTCGGGGCGCACTGAAGAGCAGGGGAGAAAATGATAGGGCCTGTCAGAGCATGGGCGGGCGTTCAGCCGCTGCTCAGCGGCTGCGGTCCGTCTAGCTCGGACGCGAGGCAGTGCGGTCGGGGCGCGAAGCCAGGGGGCGAGGCGCCACGAGGCGCTCGTTGAGCAATGTGTGGATTCCGTGCAGAAGCAACCTTACACAACTAAGCAAGTGGTCATCCGCCACTGGCCCCACCTGGGTGTACTCGTTGAAGAGCTGCTTGCGCTCCCCCAGGGCCCGCACCGCCTTGTACCTCGGGTCGTTGATGATGCGCCTGCGGGGCATTCGTGGTAGTGCATGCGTGAGTCCACGGGGGACGACGCAGACGCATCATGGGGGGCGCAGGGGTCAACAGGGTGGCTCACAACTGGTGGGTGTGCAAAGCGCCCTCGTCGGGACAAGTCATCGGCAGGTGACGTCATCAGGAGTCACGCTGTTCAGACGGCCTCAGAAAGCGGATCCAAAATTTGTCGAACAAAGCACCGGACTGCCGTGGGAAGCGAGCTCGTGGCGGCGCCGCCTCGGGGCCGAGGGGAACACACGCAGGCGGCTCTTATCCAGTGCATGCGTTGGTAGACAAAGGAGTATTACTTTCAGGCGCGCAGGTGAGAGGTGTTTCGCCAGCACCTGAGGGCGCCGTCCCAGGTGTCGCCGCCGCCGATGCCCGCGGATGCCAGCAGCTCCCTGAATGCGTCCCGGGCCTCCTCCTGGGGGTGGGGGTGGGGAATGGGTGTGATG